GAAACTGAGTATGAACTAACTAACCAATCAGAATAATTAAAGGTATCGTACGATTCTATATATAACTATGATGTCATAACATGTGCCGCAGCCGCAGTAAGACTCTGGAACATTCCAAGAGTGTCGCGAGGCATGACATCGACATCTTTGGCATTGTCCGATCGATCACGTGACTCTGGTAATTCTACAATAGACGCAACAATAGGAACTTCTTCAACAGTGAATACATTCTTAGGAACAGGCGCTGTGACTGAGCGCTTAAAGGACTTAGAATTAAGGAACGAATAATGATTTGTATTTGGAACTCGTGACACTCGCTCGGTTATCAATGACTAGAATCTACCTTTTGAAGAATTCTGTCAAGCATGCCCCACTTTCTAACAGCATTAGATGAAGCCGGATGGCCACAAGACAGAATCAGAATGATGGCTCTATTCTGGAGAAATCTGAAAGTTCACAGCTATCATTCTCTTTGGGATCCATTAGCGCAGAAGACTCTCTTGGTGTATCAAGCTGAGCAGCGTAGGTGCTGGCATGTGGCAGCGAAATCTTCAGTCAGTCCTTACAACATATCAGTCATTAATGAGAAAGTACTGGAGGATACGAGGAGTAGAGTCTATTGGGACGATCGTCTTAAGAAAGATAATGCAAGGGACTACAAGGTCAGCTTTAACTATCATTATCTTGTGAGACCTTTCACTCTTCAAAGATTTTTATCTTTGTAATTTAATATTCATTCGTACTATGAAACACATGCTTCATGCTGCATCATACTGGCTTCATGCCAACATGCCTCATGCCCCAATCTTCCTGCCACATGCCTCATAACAACTGCCTCACACCACATGCTTCAATGCTCACAAACAGTTGGACCAATGAGTCCCTGCATCATCGAGATTACATGACCATAGAGAGTCATGTAAATGCTCACCATCTCCTGAGCAGAGCAACAAGCACAAAAACCTATGTCAGGATTTTTGGCCAAGCGCAAGTGGAGGAGTCCTTTCTGCTTGCACAGTATGTCTCATATGAAACCCGCACAATATCCTCGAATGCAGAGCAAACAAACTCTGGGATGAGACCTTTAACATTCTGTGTTCACAAGTCGGCAGGATTCTCACTATGCATGATGGAAGAGCTGTTTGCAGCGACTGGCAAAGAGTCAGTGGCTGCACCAAAGTCACACATGACAGGAGACACTTCTGTTCTGGGTGCAGAGCTGCATCTCACGGCGCTCAAATGTGTCCTCGAGCTCAGAAAGCACTCTTACCCTGTACAACCTGGATGCATGGGAGTCACAGCTGGTCACAGTGGGACTTATTGATAGATATCATCACATTCCTGATGGCCTTTATCTCAGTTTTTCTCTGGACATTCCTAATATTAAAGTCACTCAGGCGCCTCCTGACAAAGAATCCATTGCTGAATATCAACAAGAATTTCTCTTACTGCCGGGTTCACAAATGGCAATTAGGGATATTTCCAAAGCATATCACACAATTCCAATTCATGCTTCTCAATGGCCAGGTTCAGTGGTGCCAATTTCAGATGATCTATTCTGCATTGATACCTGCATGTGTTTCGGACTACGTCCTTCAGCCAGAGCTTATGGCACACTTGCTGACACCGGACTGGACATATTTCGAGCAAAAGGAATTGGACCAGCCTCTCAATGGGTTGATGACCATCTTTTTATACGCATTCTCAAGGAGTTCATTTCTACTTACAACAATGATAGGAAGAGGTGGCATCAAGAGATCACAAAGAGAGGTAGACACCAGGATGGAGGCAGAGTATGGTATGGAGGTCATATCTTCAAGGACGGTACATTGGAAGTCTTTGATGAAGACTGCCATTTTCCTATCAAAGATCTATCAGAAGCTTCACCAAGATCGCACGAAGACATGCATTTCTCGTGTAACCTCGCTGACATTGATGAAGTGTCAGATGACCTTCATATCCCATGGGAAGAACTTAAAGACAAACTGTTCATGTATGCTAACTCATACATCGGCTTTATGTGGGACTTGGCACAGGACAACATGTATCTACCTGAAGAAAAGAAAAGAAAAGATCTCTTGGCGATTGATATCTGGTGGCATCACGACAAACACGTTCTTCTTGACGTGCAGCAACTATATGGTAAATTATTACATATATCACTCATTATCCTACAAGGACACATATATCTTACGTCCTTGGAGGCAATGTTGCACCTCACTTTGACAAACCCTTTCTCCCATGGAGACCAGTCAGTGTGACTGGGAGGCTGTCAAAGAGAATCACATACACCCTATCCTTCCAATGCATTGCCTCTGGCTTGGTGCAACTGGAGAACCTCATTGGGTTACTCAGAAAATGATAAGCACATACAAGGGACACCTGAATGTTTCAGGTAAATTGAAGGTTGTAACAGTCTAGGCAAATTCTGAAGCTATCTTTTGCCGTAGTAGCATCCCAAACCTCACATATGAAGTCTCACATTTGTGGTACACCAATGGCTTGTTTGGATACGTAATACTGTTTTCCCTGAGTCCCACTTCTTTATCTCACATCTCAATACTTGATCTACTGGGCTGCATTGGAACTTTCTGTATTTTCAGTTTGCTTATGTCCTCTGCTACTACTCATATAAGTGTACATAGCTCTATTTAGATGTTTTTTGGTGGCATTTATGATGGCCCAGAGGGGACAATAATAAATTGAATCATTTTTATATAAAATATCTACATGGTAACCCAAAAGTTGTGTTATGTTCAAAAATCTCTGGATGACACAGTGGGGAAACTGACATTTTACCACCTTTTGCTGCCAGTGAAATTACATTCTAAAGGTAATCCAAAGTGCTCTGGAATGCTCTAGGCTAGGTCTGGAATGGTCTAGCCAGGTCCAGATTTGCTTTTGATTGAAATCTTGCAAGAGGTAATTTAACAGAGTAAAGTAAAAATTATCTCTACATTCAATCAAACTTTGTTTTGTCACTACAGTTTATTTCCTGTCTTGCATACCTATTTCAATTTTGGATCCTACAGGTGTGGCGCTACAATCCAAATTGCTTCTTCCAGATGATAACTTCAAAACAAAGCAAGGATGTCTTGTTTATTAGACTACCAACATTTGAGGACAGGGTTTGGACCAGCAATGCCTATGAGGGACTGTATTGGACAAAATAAAATCAAAACAATAAAGTAAACAAATCGACATTATAACTAAAACTCGAATTGATTTCACAAAAGTCATCCACATGGCTTCTCAAAACTCTGTTTCTTTTTTGTCACAAAATCACTGGTGTGTGATAACCAAAAGTCATCCATGTGGCTTCTCAGAACTCTATTCTTGGCACAAAAGTCATCCACATGGTACCTTCAGAAAAGTACTTCCTACTGTCATGCTCACGTCACACAGGTGGGTGCATGATCTCTCTTGCATCGTTCAACGGATCATTAACCTCTAGAGACACCCAAGCAAACATCACGCTTCAGTTTCCTCTCTTCTGCACAGAATATTGTATGACAATGGCACATTACCATACATTCCAGAGCCTGGCGCAAATGCGCAGTACTTTGGTGACATTTTTCAGGTGACATGGCACCTTTCAAAAAGACCATTGTTACTTATAATCTCTCCCATACTCAAGGAGGCCAGCATTGTAGCCAAAATCACTGTTATCACAACAGTATTTGAGGAAATGTGTGCCAGACTTTTACCAGTACCTGGAATTTATATTTCATTTGTCTCCTGGGTAGAAGATGAAGACTCATATACCATTGCACTTTCCACCCTTGAATTTGAATCTGAATGGCCCATCTACATTGACAGTATGATGAGTATTTTATTGTCAATGGTCTCCAGAAGGCCATTCCTGATGTCTGTGTTATGTCTGCACCACTCGAAGTCACCCAGCTCAGAGCACACAAATCTCAAGCAGAGCTAGACCTTCTGAGATGTGTGAAGCTAAAGAAGTTCTGTGCATCAAGTGTAAGTCCTATCTTGATTAGTACCATCCATGCTTCTGTATCTGACAAGCTTAAAAGGGCTGCCATGTTTTGGACACCAGTTCATTTTAACAGAAAATGCCCATCTGTCCCCTCCAACAGGCCATGCTTGTTTCAAGGTGGACACATTTGCTGTGGTTGATTAATTACTATACTAAGCAAATGCTGGTATGACTTTTGTGAAATCAATTCGAGTTTTAGTTATAATGTCGATTTGTTTACTTTATTGTTTTGATTTTATTTTGTCCAATACAGTCCCTCATAGGCATTGCTGGTCCAAACCCTGTCCTCAAATGTTGGTAGTCTAATAAACAAGACATCCTTGCTTTGTTTTGAAGTTATCATCTGGAAGAAGCAATTTGGATTGTAGCGCCACACCTGTAGGATCCAAAATTGAAATAGGTATGCAAGACAGGAAATAAACTGTAGTGACAAAACAAAGTTTGATTGAATGTAGAGATAATTTTTACTTTACTCTGTTAAAAACATCAAGCATAAAACAAAATCAGTTTCCTTTTTGTCACAAAATCAAAATTTGACCAAAGTTGACATTGACAATCAACAGTCAACAAGTCAACAGGTCAATCAATATTGACTGGCACATAGATTGACTGTTGACTGTTGACTCCCAGTGAAGAACGACAATATTTAGGTAGATATGTGTAGATATAAGTCGATAAAATTTCAAGTCATGATTCTTATCAATCTGTTTCGAGGTCTCTCAACAAAATGTAACTTTTTGAGATGCAAAAAGATACAGATTGAGACAAATTTCTAACATTTAAATATAATTCTCGATGCCTTTAGGTGTTTAGATAGGCATTTACATACAGATTGTCGCTCGATTTGAATCAAAAATGTTATCGATACACAGCTAATGCAATCAAATGAGAATATCAAGGAGTATCGCTAGTATTTTGGGGATATCGCTAGGTATTGCTATCACGGGGGGTATCCACTGCACCACCATCCCGCTATTCCGCCATCCCGCCATCCCGTGTCACACTACTCCTTGTCCACGTCGCGAATGGTTCCAACAACCCCACATGATTTGAGCTATAGAATGAGACTGTTAGTGTAGTATACAATAGAGGATGGTGGGCTGAACTCACCTGAGCTGTTGCTTTGCATTTGTATGTATACCTGGTAGACAGTGTTAGATAGATATCACTAATATAACAAAATTGATACACGTCTTTGTCGGCTTTAGATAACCCGTTCCAGTAAGATGCGAAGACTGTCGCAGGTTCCTTTTGATGGCCATTTGATTGCCAATCCAAAGCACACAAGTTCCTACATCATATGAATCGTAGAATTAGCTTTGATTGGCCTGATAATGATAGAATCACTTACCGTGCAGTGATCTTTGCACTCACATGCATCGGCTTGGTACTCAGCTGACGCTTCTTGATGGTATCAGGCTTCGAGCTGTTGATTGTGATCTTCATTTGCTTGGCGCTCTGGGACGCTGCGATGACTTTCATTTTCACATCAAGTGAAGTCGAATCTGCAGTTGATGGAACCTCTGGCATGGAGATTAGTGTATGCTGTGTGATGTTGTTGGTGGATGGAATTGGGGTAAGATTAAGTTCAGAAGTCGAAGTTGAAGTTGCAGGAATCTCCAATGGAATTGGTCTGGGCTGAGGCTTGGGGGCAAGATTAGAACTATATTGATTAGATCAGTGTACCATCAACAGCATCATTGACAAAATGAAATAAACTCACAGAGGATTTTTGATCTGTAGACATGTGAAATGTGTGTAGTTAGTATAATAACCCTTCCAATACAAGCTACATACACTTACCTCTACGGTTATCACTTCCTTTGCTTTCCCTTTGTCGGTACTGGGTGGAGGTGTAGGTTCATGGTTGGGGGAAGAATCTTGTATGATATCATTGGTGGATGATGCAGTCTGTAAACATGTAATTAGTGAGCATCGATCATGATTGAGTGCGGAGAAAACTTACCAGATCAACCTCTTCTCTGATATCGGAATCAACGCATGATCACTTGATGGCATATTCATTGTCGGGTTCAGATGATCTCCGTTTCTGAGTGGCAATTGGGACCAAGTCTGTGATGCTCTTGTCTTCTAAGTCTTGCTCAGCCTTCACATGGTTGCTGCTTCTTTTCTTCGTGTGATACTTGTGCCATTGGGGGTAGTTGTCGGTCATAAGTTTCATTATTTTCCAATTATCGGCACAAAGTTGAAGCTCGAAATGGGTCTTGCGCAATGTATGAACCAGCCATTTGAGGACATCCAGAGAAGCTTGGCCGATCAATTCTGGTGCAAGTCCTTGAGTATGAAGTTGGCAGAAGCAAGACAGCATTGTCAATCGAATTGACTTTGCACGCTGAGCTGATACAGGCATGCTGTCCTTGTCCTGGAGGTAAGTCGACACATTGATACCTTGTGCCATCTGTCTGGATCCATGTGCTGATTTTTTTGAGGAGGAATCAGGAACAGCTGATGTGCTCGGAGGGTATTGTTCCTGCCATCCCTTTTTGATCCAAGACTCCACTGACAGAAATTCAGTCTGATTGAGCTCGTGATCGCAGGCTTCTTCAATTGTTCCATTGAGAAGGAGGGGTGGCTTATGTTCATCGTTGCTATTGGTGCCAGATGAAGTGCTTGAAGTGACAGATAACGATGAGCTCGATGCGACTGAGCTTGCTGAACCTCGGATATTAACAATGATATTCCTACAAGACACATAATTAGATATCATTGAAATAAAAATGAATGAATGTATGCGCATATAGTCACTTGGCGGTGAATATATGCGCATACAACTTACTGTAAGGCCTGGCAGGTAGTATTGAGACTTGTATTTTCACTCGCCAGCCTTTGTACATCTGCTTGGAGACTGGCAATTGTGTGTTGTGACTCCGCAAGTTGATGCTTGAGTTGGGCAACAAGATTGGTGTCAGAGTCCTTGCATGGCAATGGATCGTGATCGAGTATAGAATCTAGAGAATCTTGATACATAGAAGACTCACCATGTGTTTTATATCAGTATCCGAGCCTTCAGCATGTCTTTGTAATTAATATAATGACTCACATTAAGTTTGTGAAGTACCATTGGTTCATGCAAATAGTACATCTGGCTAGGCCCATTCAGATCAAATGGTTGTAATAATGATTGTTGAGAATTAGTTTGAGGGACCAAGGAGTTTGGGTATCCAGCAGATGAGATTGTGTTGTCGAGGGACAGTGACATGATGGTATGAGTTGAGGGACACTTTGAGTTGAAGTCAAGAAAGGAAACTCACCAGAAACTCACCAAGTCCTGTTATTGCCATGCATCTGTTATGCTACCACCAGCTGTCCAGGATTTTCTTGATACCAGGTGAGTCTTTGCTTCACGATCTAGATCTATTAATCTTATCTACTAGCATCAATACAAATAATTCCAACGACTCCACCCATTCTAGTACCCCCATTATGACCTTGTCGGACAATTTCTTGCTGGATCCCAGCAATTGGACTTCTGATCCTCTCAGGGCACATCTGATGAGGCTAAGGTATTTATTACAACAAGAGTAAGTTTTTATTTATTTTTATTACATTTTAATATGAGTTCAGTAGATCTATTCCTACCAAACCTACTCCCACCCTCCCCATCGATGACCTGAGCAGTGTGACCAAGCTGGAGAGCGAACCCGAAAAGCCGCCCCAGCCTGCAATACCTACTCCCACTCTCCCTGCCGATGACCCTAGCGGTGTGACGGAGCCCGAGAGCGAATCCGAGAGAGCTGCTCCTGCCATAACTATGCCTATCATCCCCGTCGACAATCTGAGCAGTGTGACGGAGCCCAAGAGCGAATCTGAAAACCCGCCCCAGCTTGAGTTCAGCACACCAATCAAGATCAAGGGCACAAGTCCAGTTCCAAAAAAGAAGGGCTTCTTCGACACTCCAAGTCCCCCAGGGCCTGATTCACACTATTGGAAGTATGTATCACGCAAAGAAGATGAAAAATGGTATGATCGTTCGAAAACAGATGCCAGCTTTCATGCAGTACGTTCAATGAAGCAACAACTCAGAGACATTAGCTAGAAATGCATTGTATTGTATGTATTGTACATATGTGAGACTCCCAAAATGAAAATGCTTAATGAAAATGCTTTGATGGGATCAGGATCAGCTTCTGTCTGATGGGATGGGATCATAATGAGACATACCTTTTATTCCTCATCTGGTATATGTTCCTCAGCTCCACCCATTGTCAGTAGGTCCAGGCCTGGGTGCTCTATCAGGTAGAACAGAGTTCCATCAATTCCTCGGAATTGATGAGGAACCATTGCTACTACTGCTTGTATAGTAGATACCTCAATTAGTCGTAGTGAATTGTCGCCATGATGATGACATGTGAAGACCATTTGAAAAGACCATTTGAGGAGTTCTGGGTGTGGTCAATCAAATTCTGATATGAGTGCGAATGTCTTCTCCTGATCATGAATTGTCATATTAAAGTAGAAGTAGACCTCAGTGATGCTTGTGTGACCATCAATGAATAACTTTGATTCAGAAATGAATATAGATACTCAATTGATCGATCAAAAAACTTACCTTCACATTCTGTGCCATCCTGAGTTGCCTTGACATCCCATTTTCCTTCCAGGCTGATCGTGCAACTTGTCTGTTAGGAAGATGTAGTCGAGCCCATCTAGTGATGGGAGGAGCAAAAGGAACACAGATGCCATTGGTGGCCAAGTAATGAAGGATTGTGTCAGATTCACAAGGACGGACTAGATGGGCCGATCGCTCCCTTCGACGGAGTAATAGATACCCTTGTCCGAGATCCAGCGATCCTTTTGGGGGAGTGTTACTAGATGGTTCTATGGTTGGAATAATAGCCTTGATTGCATTAACTTGACAGTGTCAGATGGCACGTTGAGAAAGGTTGGCGTAGACAGATGAGTTATGAAGGCGGATTTCTTGCCCGAGATTACCGATTGTCCTCTCCATCGTCCACTGGGATGAGCAGATCGGAGGGCCTTTGTTGACTGTCTCAGGGCCAATATGAGTGAGGGAATGAATCCATGGGTGAATGAAATGAAGTTGATCATTGCGGTGCTGACAATAGATTTCTTCGAATTCGTCAGTGAAGTCTAGAAGGTGCTGATGGCCATCAAGAAGTTCTGATTGGGAGATGTGGTACTGCTGCATTAGGCGTAAACCTCGTGCAAGGTGACAAAATTTTGTCCAGTAGGGATCAGGGAGGACGCCAAAGAGTGTGGCAGGTGCCATACCATAGAGATACAGAAGCCACTCCCAAGCCTTGTACCCACTATGGATTTTTTCTGCAGGGTTTCGAGGGGGGCGATCAAATGAACCTGGCAAGTATGGAGCTGCATCAGCGATACTCGATCCATGCTTTTCCAATTGTCCTTAGTGAGCACAGCCCAGTGCCATGTGGCTTTATCATCTGTTGGGTTGGCTCTAAATGTCCCTCTCCAGAGTGGTATCAAGAGATCTCCAGCGTTGATGGCAGCTACGTGCATAATGTCCGAGCCAAATGAGTGCGGAACTGGGAGAATGTGATCAGAATGAAAACCACAGAAGATGCTTGGCTTGGTGATGCCTGTTTCAAAGTGCGCGAGTTCATATTCTGCAGTGTTTCTGCAGGAGACAATGCAATGGAGATTTGCCTCGTAATTGAATGATCCAGCGGGGGGTAATTGATGGATGAGAATATTGGGGTGATCATAGTGACCGACCAGCTGGAAAAGTACAGGATAGTGAGTGGGAGCACCTAGTTTATGTCGGCCAGGAAGCCCACAGTAGAGTCTGCAGCCCATTTTGCCATGATGTCCGACGAGACCGGTGAGAAATGCCATTCCAGGGCCATCTGCAGTTGCAATGAAAAGGAAAGGATTGGAGGTAAAAAATCTGTTAAGTGTGCCATCCCAAATTGCAAGGCCCTCAGCCTGGATTGCGCATAAATGGTGGAGTCCAGGGAATATGAATGAGTCGAGATTTTGGGCTTTTTGGGACCAGGAATTATGCCGCCAGGGAGGACATACTTTTTTTGATAGTGTTGATCCAGGGAGTGATCAAACAATACCCAGATATAGATCCAGCAGTCTGACTGCTTGGATTCATACAGTTGTGCCCCATCAATTGAGAACATGAGTACGGGGTCGCCTTCTTTAATGTTCCTGGATTGGCAGGCATCGAGATACTCCTTGCCATGAAGAACATCTTCATAGATGCTGGGACTCCCATCAGTCATCCCGATCTCTTCTAGAATTTCCTTGGTGCGCTGCTCACACCAGCGCATCTTCTCTGCTTGGTTTGGATGACCCCATAGGACCTGGAGCTGTGGACCAACCGGAAAAGTGTCAAATGTTCGATGAGGTATCTTCTTCTGAGTCATGCTTTTTTTGGGATCCCATCGATCTTCTCCGCATCTAGAACAATGATCGAGGTCAGCATATGGACCAGTAAATGCGAGGCATGTATTGATGCACATGTCATTTATGATCAGCATGACACCACTAAGTTCAGCAACAGCTTGCTTCACACGATAGTAGCTGTATATGTTGTCATTGGGGTACCGTTCAATAGTAGCATCACAAATGGAATTGTACTGTTTGATAGTCGTATCAGCAAAATAAAATTTCAAGGATTGTATGAGGTCAGGATCTGTGGTATCTGGGAGTGCGCAGGGAGGATTTCGAAGCCTATCTAATGCATCTAGCGATAATTGGGAGTGTGTGTCGTCAAGTGATGATTGTCGTAATGTGTTTATGAAAGCCATCGTGTCCTGTGCATCTCTGAGTCATGCCATATGGTGCAATTCTTCTAAGTCCTCGTCGGTCCAACCCATTGTCTGTGCAGGAGCAATATCTGCTTCATCACGATCATGATTGGGGTCCATATCCCGATGCATGCCCTCAAGATTCTCTGCCTCAAGGCCTGCTTCCTCTGCTTCCTCTGCTTCCTCGTACCCTGTACTAATGTCCCCGAAATTAGGCTCCAGAACTTGACGGTTGTCAGATGCCTTGGGCACATCGTGATCTAGATTGTCTGTATGCTTGTATGCATCTAGACCTATGTAATACCATTAGTTTTGATCATGATTGTAGTATGAAGAATAAGCTTACCATAGTCTTGGCTGTGATCATCAACCTCTGGCACGAAGTTGTGGTCAGGAATGTGCTCAACTCAAGGCTCATCAATATCTAGATCCGTTTGATATCATCATTGAATTGAACCAGTGCTATGATATTAGTTGGTGACATACCATCTTCTGTGCGATCAATGACTGGATCAGACAACTCGTCCTCGATCAAAAATGGCACGTCAGGATCTTGGACACATCCTTTCTTGCTGGTTTGTTCCTCATTGTCAGGCATATCCAGAGGGTGTTTACTTGAAGATGGTCCAGTTGCTACAGCAGTTGGAGGTTGTGGGCTGCTGAGAACAGAAGTAGGAAATGAATGTACAGCAAGTCTGCCAGTTTTGTGTTTGAAGTAGGTGTTTCGGTGTACCTGCTTGGGCTTACCTACATTTTTGAGAAGGCAGGAAGCACAGTCGCAGACATGTACGTTGGTGCCATCTTCAAGTTGGTGTATCCCAGCTTCGTTGTAATGCATTTGCAATCTAGATGGTAGATAGTGTGTATGCAATCTCGATTGCTTTGCAAATCTTAGAAGGCGCAATGTTGAAATTTGCAAACTGTAATTTGCAAACATTTGCTGAAACTGCAAAGTCAACTTTGTGATTTTGAAAAATTTGAACTTTGCATTTTTTTTGCAATTATGCATCTTTGCTATCTCGATTCAATTAGATTTATATAGTTTTGTTTAGCTATGTCGCCTGCTATCTACACATATCTACCTAAATATTGTCATTCTTCACTGGGGTTGACTGTCAATGTCAACTTTGGTCAAATTTTGATTTTGTTTTATGCTTGATTTTTTTAACAGAGTAAAGTAAAAATTATCTCTACATTCAATCAAACTTTGTTTTGTCACTAAAA